TGTTTTCGAGCACTTATAAGGCTTTTTGAATGAAGATTTTTTGTTTCCATTACCCTGCACCTGCCTTGCATACTACTAGTTCTGCAGTAGTTTAATGTTCTGGAAACAGTTGCTAGATAGAATGGAAAATGGATTTTGGGTCGGAGACCTTACGTGCGCGAAGCTGAATACGCAGACTCAAGTCCGGAATAGCACTTCGGATATTCGCCGAGTTAGGTTCATCGTAAGAGTTCGCTTCGTGGGTTCTCGTCCTATCCTGCCTCTGTGGGCGACTGCTCCTAGCACTGTCGACCAAGAGCAGAATCGGATATGCTGGGCATGCACTCAATCTATCGCACGCATCGATCATCGATGACCAGGACTGCGGCATCTAACCTCGGCCCCCAGAACTCCATGTCGTCTTCGCCCCAGTTCTCTCCATTCTGAAATTTCCCTTGTCAATCACAAGTCACCCACACACAAGTCACCCTACTTTTCAGGATGAAGTTCACTGCTGTCCTCGCTGCCGCCGCCGCCGCCGCCGCCGCCCTTGTTGGATCCGTCAATGCCACGACCTGCACCAGTACCCAGCAGACCGCCGCCTATGTCGCGCTCGTGAGCCTTCTCAGCAAGTCGTACTTCACGCAGTGCTCAAGTGACTCGGGCTACTCCATGCTCACGGCCACAGCGCTACCCAACACCGCGCAGTACAAGATCATGTGCGCGTCGACTGCGTGCCAGGAGATGATCACGGAGATCATCTCGCTGAACCCGCCTGACTGCGACCTGACCGTGCCGACCAGCGGTCTCGTGCTGGACGTTTACACGTACGCTAACGGCTTCGCGTCGACGTGCGCATCGCTGTCCTCGTCATCGGCCTAAGCTTAGGTGGACACCTAGCAACTTCCTTGTGCTAAACATACGCCTGACGCTTCCAAAAGCTACAGACGCTTCGTTTCCTAAGCCTCGCTCGATAGGCGAGCTTTTAAGCTCATATTAACACGCAGTACCTGTTACAGCCTGCCATTTTTGGCCTCTTTTACGGGATTTCAAAACGCAACTTAAAGAGTTAATCAGGTAGTTTATTACAGTGCTATTCGATGTATTGTGCTTTGCACGAACTTTGGCATGCGATTAAGGGCTCTAAACCAACGAGCAAATCCTTCCCGGTGATCGTATCTCGCAGCCTAACTCAAAGTTAAAGTTGAGCTAATCAACCGCCAGTATCAAGCGCCAAGAACGGAGCGGTTGCCACTGCAAGAATAAATCGGTTGTCGCTGCAAGAAAACAAACTGATAAGGTCCCCGCTAGAATGGTGCCAGCTCCTTGCATAATAGTAAGCACCGATTTCGGCGGGGACGTTTTCTTTCGCTCTCTTCGTCGGGGCCTTGCGCGTTAAACCAAGCTCGAATTTCAGAGCACGGCATATACGGTAGTAGCAGTAGAAAATATTTCTTTTGTCTGATTGCTTTCTAGTCGATGATTGACATGCGTTGGCGATCTATCGTACTAAACTACGTCTACAATATTGAAGAACATCCGTTTTTATATCGAGGAGCTGCAAGCAGCTTTAAAGTCAGCGTTTCCTGCACTACCAAACATTTCTAGTGCGAGCGAGTTAGAATTAGAATGTCAGGGCCCTAGTATTGTCGGATTTTTTCCAGCCATTCAACGAAAGTGAGCATAACTCATCGTTAAATCGTTGTCTTAGCAGCTATTCTATCTTAAATCGACGAGTTAGCCTCCTAACTCAATGATGGGCTAATCGCCGTGATTTGCCAAAACAACGAATTACGTCGTTGTTTAGACAGAAAGCATGCAAAGCACAATAAGACTTTGCTATTATAACAAATGGATTCCATCGGGCGCATTTATATTGTTGGCTTAGCTGTTGAGAACGAGCTCGCCGAAAAGACGTCTCTGGGAGACGTTGCCGTGCGGTAACGCATGTATCGCAATCAACCAATGACTTGTGTCGAGATTCCGTAACCAGACCAGGTGACGCATAGATAGAGGTATGTGATTGGTCAAAAATAAGGCTTTGAAGTGCTTTTGCCAGACGGCGGCGTATGGACCGAGGAGTCCTGGAGCTTGAAAGTGCTCATGAGTTTTTTCGTCTACACCTATTTTAATAGGTGTTTAAAAGTGCATTCTCCTACATATTACCACCACTGGACTAGGTGCAATTCCTCCCCAGCAGGTGCGGGCACTTAGACGCCGCTGCTGGGCACCTTGTCCATCTCCTGCTGCTCGCATTGCCTTCCCGCTCTGGGACTCCGGACGAGCTCGTGCTCCTGTCGGCGTTTCTCGGCGACTGGACCACGAGATGGCGCGTGCAACAACCTCAAATACAAAGCCCTTGCTATAATATGTCTTAGTTGAGCAACGAAAGTTCAAAGCCCGCCTCTGCTGCTAGCGGCGAGCAGACCAAAGACGTCGTATCCGCGCTCGCGACCTTGGTCATATGACTGCAAGTGCCGTGCGTGGCAGCTCTTGGGCCCCAGTACCAGGCTGCTCAGACCAGTTAGCATCGAGTCTACCGAGTGAGTCTACCGATTGATAAAGTAGTTTTCATGACCGCAGGGTCTGCTGCGCCTGCGTTCATGACGACGAAGGCAGCCATCGCAGCGACAGTATGCTGTTCCCTTGTGCGCCCGCCGTGCGAGAAGTGGGCGAACATTTGAGCCAATCAAACAGGCAGAACCAGTGTAACGAACCCATGCTACACTTTCACTGTTAAAAAAGTTGATACACCATCGTGTTTGATTGTATCGTTGTATTGAGCTGATCAAAATTGTTATGAGAAATGGTAAGCTGAGCTGGTTACGCCGGAGTACAAATCACTATACTGAAGTTACTATAGTTGGAGATTGACATTTGTACCACAAAACGCACATAAAAGCGTATAATATGTGCATAAAATAAACTATAACACCAGGATTTAGGGGCAACGTGCAACCTCGTCACTTCCTGCAGCATTGTAGCTCAGCTTTACAGCCTTGGATGCTGCAAACTTTGTCAACCTTCTACTATGACCAATGTGAACATGTATACCAATTTTCAGAGTGAAATCATTCCTCCTTCAAGACCCTCTCCGTAGTGACCATGCGATCTGTTAGGGGCATTGCGTGGTAAAAATAATGAATGCTAACGACTATGTTGTGTTTATGAGATTGCTCGTGCTCCCGAGATTATTTTATCCTCGCATATGTAACATACGAAAGAATATCCAGACTGTTATTATTGTGAACGGAGCTGGGGGGAAGTCGTGCTACTGTGTGCAGGCCACATCTTCACTATCGGGTTCAGCATCAACAAAATAGCCGACCGTCTGAGCGCAAGCTCAGATGAAACTGGTGCTTCAGTGGAGCAGCTTCACAGGCAATTGGTCTACGTTCAAGATTGTCAAGGATATCACCTGCACATCAGTTGTACACAAACTTCGTAAAAAGTTATGAGTAATTACCCCCCCCCCATCTAGACCCATTCTAGTGTACCAGATCTGGCACGGCCTAGATGGTCGGCCACGCGTCGTCTCTCCAGGCCGCTGCCTGACTTGCTTCTTGCTCTCTCGCTAACCTGAATACATCTCACTTTCCAATCTTCCCTACGTCTACGTCTTTCCTTCTCTCCCGTCTTCGACCTGCGCAAGTGCTGATGGCTCGAGAGGTTATAAGCCAAACGATAGGGAGAAGCGGGGAAGACTTCCCACGCCTCAACGGCTCCAACTTCCCAGTGTGGAACGCTCGCATCCGCGCAGCTCTCGACGGTTAAGGCCTGCTAGGCTTCATCGACCAGGAGGACTACGACGGTGACTCGGACTCGTCCATCGTCGACTCCGACGACGACCAAGACCTCAAGCCTTCCCACCCACCCTCGCCCACCAAGTCGGACGACCTGCTCTCCGACACCGGAACCCTGTCTCCAGACGGCGGTCTGGACGCCGATGATGCCAAGCGCGACGACAGCACGGCCCAACCAAAGCCTGGCTCCTCGTCCGGCGCGTCGTCGGACTCTTCGTCGGGCAACTCCTCTGAGGCGATGGCGACTGACCCTCAGTCGTCCCGCTCCGCCAAGCCCACCCCGCCGCCCCCGGTGATCAAGTCCTTCACCGAGACCAAGCGCGACAAGGAAAGACGCCGAGCACTGCTCCGCGCACAGGCCAAGAAGGCTCGAGCGAAGCTTCGAGCGGCCAAGAAGCGAGCGGCTCGCAAGCCGAGCCCGCACGAAAGACGCCGAATGGAGCGCAAAACTCGATCGTTCCTGATCTCAATAATCGATGATGCCCACGTGCTCCTCGTCGAGGGTTGTACTTCTGCCTACTCGTTCTACCAAAAGCTGCGTGACCGCTATGAGGGCTCGACTGCCCACGGCGACCCGTACTACATCAACCACTACTTGATGACCATCAAGTATGAGGAGGGTACGGATCTGATGGCGTTCTTCCTGACCTTCGAGCGCGCACTGAAGGCGGCTGCTGAAGCTACTGGCATTGTGATGACTGACGAACAGAAGTCACTCTATCTCTATCATGCGATGCCTAGTACCTGGAAGCCTGACCTTGCGATTTGGAAGGACAGCAAGAAGTTTATCCTGTACACGGACCCCAAGACCAACATTGAGCGTAAAGTGCTGAATGACTACGCCAAGCGCAAGTACGTGATTGAGAAGGGCAGCCCCGAGACCCCCACCACGGCCAGCGAGACGGCACTTCAGGTCATTGCGAACACACCTCATGGCCGAGACGACCCGCCTCGTCGTTCTCAAGGTTGCACCTACGCGGCCAAATCACGCCATCCGCAACTGCCGTGTGCTGCAGAAGCACCTGCGCACTGGTACTGTCAAGGAGGGCACAGTGCTGCCAGCAAACTTTGGCATTATCGACCGCAAGCCGAGGGATGACCCCAACCCCTTTCCGGCCAAGCAGCAGTGCACCCAACGCTCGGATGACCGGCAGCGCCCACCCTCTCGCAATGAGAATGGGCTCAAGGGTCCGGACATCTATGATCGCTCTGGCAACCCGGTCAACTTCCAGGACCTCCAGCGCAAGTTCAGCTCGAGAGGACGCGAAGCGGGGCTCATCGCATATGCGACTGTCATCATGCCGGACATCGGTTTGTCGGCTACGGGCTCTGACCCCCATGACCCCGCGGGGACGGTTGACTCGGGATGCACTCGACATGCTGCTTACCAAGAAGCCTGGTTCAAGGAGATCCGCCCCTACGCCGGCGTCATCATGGTCGGTGGCAAACACCAACTACCCAACCGCGGCATTGGTGATGTGGTCCTCGAGGTGGTTGACACTACCGGTACTACCCGCCTCATGGAATTCCGTGATGTACTATACGTGCCGGACATGAAGTTCAACCTCCTGTCCATCGCCCAGGTGCTGAAAATGGGTATTCGCCTTGTCTTCAGCAGCACTACTTCGTGGGCAAGGACTACAAGGTCCACGTCGAACTCGCGTCGGACATGAACCTGTTCCAGTTCAAGTCGAAAATCCCACTTAAGACGCCCAGCGCGCCCGTGGCCCCAGCTCCTGCGGACAATCAACCCGCCAATGCCCTTGTGGCTCAATCAGGTATGGACCCTGCTGTCTTATTGTGGCACAAGCGTCTCGCTCATCCTAACTTTCCTGTGATGCAGACCATGTCTAGGACCCAAGCGGCCCCTGAACTGGCGTTCTCTCAAGCATCAGCGATCCCCAAACACTTCTGCCCCTCGTGCATCTTTGCTAAAGCACACCGTGCTCCATTCAATAGTAATGTTGATCGCACTTAAGACAAAAGACGCCCTCGCCATCTACTCTAAGGCGCTACTGCTCAACGAGCCCATTGACCTGGAAGAGGAACATACCCTTCATCATACCATCATTACTCTCTTAGCTGCTCGCTATGACCCAGACCCTAAGACCTACAAGGAAGCCATGCGCTCCCCATATGTATCTGACTGGCACGCTGCTGCCCTCTCTGAATATCGGTCACTCATGGAAAACCAAACGTGGACACTGGTGCCGCGGCCGCACAACCGCAAGGTGCTCCAGTGCCGATGGGTTTTCGCGATGAAACTGGTCGCGTTGTGCGCTTTAAAGCTCGCCTCGTCATTAAAGGCTTTCAGCAAAAGTACGACATCGACTATACAGAAATCTTCTCTCCTGTCGTCCGCATGGAAGTCCTTCGACTGCTGTTCACGCTTGCAGCAATCCTTGACAATGAAATTGAACAGATGGACGTTAAAACGGCGTTCCTCAATGGTTCACTTGACGTAGAAATCTTCATGGAACAGCCTGAGGGATTCACCTCAAAGGATCGCCCTGGCCTCGTATGCAGCCTTGGTAAGAGCCTATACGGCCTCAAGCGAGCACCTCGTGTCTGGTACCACACCTTTGCTAAGTACCTCGAACGTCTCGGCTTCACTCGCCTAGTTAAGGACCGTTGCGTGTTCTTTAAGGTTATATTCAATGCGCCGTGTTACATCTCGGTTTACATCGACGACCTGCTGATCATCTACCCGTCCAAAAATGTCGTTGCTCGGGTCAAATCGGCCCTGAGCTCCGAGTTCCACATGACCGATTTAGGGGGAGTATCCTACCTCCAATTGAAAGGAACCGAGCTAACCGCTCCATCTTCATCCACCAAAAGAGCTACGCCACCAAAGTGCTAGACAGATTCTCAATGTTAGACAGTCACCCAAAGAGCACGCCAATCGCGCAGAAGCTTAGTGCCACCGACTGTCCTACCGACGACGCTAGTAAGGCTATGATGGCCAACAAACCGTACCGAGAAGCTGTAGGTAGTTTCATGTACCTGATGACGGGTACTCGTCCTGACCTTGCCTTCTTCATCCGTGAAGTTAGCCAGTACCTTGACAACCCGGGGCTGCCTCACTGGAATGCTGTAAAGCATGGTCTTCACTACCTCAATGGCACAAAGGACTTTGGCATCACTCTTGGTGGAGTGGAAAACCTCGAGCTCCTACAGTCAGATGAATATCTCATGGCTTATACGGACTCAGACTACAGCATGCTAAGACACGACGCTGCATCGGTGGTTATATCACTATGTTCTGCAACAGTCCCATTAGCTGGGTCTCACGGAGACACCACACAGTCGTGCTCTCCACAACGGAAGCAGAGTATATCGCACTCTGCTACTGCATGCAAGAGCTGATCTACTTAAAACTACTGCTAAGAGAACTAGGCTACGAGAGCTCAAAGCCCACACTGATCATGGAAGACAACCAACGTTGCATTAAGATATACAACAACCCAGAGCTTCACGGCAGGAGCAAACACATTGGCGTTAAGTACTTCTTCGTACAGGAGAAGGTGGTGCGCAAGGAGTTCACTGTTAGCTATTGCAACACCAATGCAATGTGCGCTGACATCTTCACTAAACCTTTAGCGAAGCCACTATTTGAGAAAATGAGAGAGCTCCCCACCACAAAATGAGGGGAAAATTATATAAGACTTTGCACTTTGATGATAAATAAAAGAACAATTTAATGGTGAGAGCATTTTAGTTTTGTCTGAAGATTTAAAACCCACCGTGAAATCCTCTCCCGACATGTACTTCGCGATTACCAGACTCTGAACGGACGCACAAAGGCGAAGAAGTTCATCCAGCGACACTCCTCCACAGGCTTCTCCTTGCCCTTGTCGATAATGGTCTTGCGCTGGCCCCCGTCCGCCACGCGAAGCACAACTGCATGACCCACGAATCGGACGTTGTAAGCCGCCACGATGTACAATCCATCCGTAACGCCCTTGTCCGGAGTCAGCTCGCTCAACACACGCGGCCCGCGACGCCCGCCTTGGACGTAGTTGTTCTAAACCCTATTGTGGTTGGCGGTCCTAAAACCTTGTAATATGCTTGGTTTTACAAATTTAATCCAATCAAATCACCCCTCTATTGATTTTGACCTATTATATCATTTGCGTAAAACCAAGCATATTGCGAGGTTTTACAACAATAATTGCAATAATTATTGGTAAACCCCTGCAAAATGATATATTATGCTGCGGGGTGCGGAGCAAAACCAAGCATTTATGCATGTTTTACACTTTACTATAGGGGCTTCAGTATACTAAATCCAAGTATAATATTGATCACTAAAGGGTTAATCATCTCGTTAATCTTGAGCGCAGTCCCATGCTGGCGCAGCTTGCGCAGGAAAGCCGTGAACTGCTTCCAATTGCATCCCAGGTTCATGTCCACGTCGAACTTGCTCTTAGCCTCGGCGAAGAAAGCATCGATCACCGTCTGCGGAACCAGGTTGGGGCGCTTGAGAAGGTTGGCCGCAACTGCCATAGCTCGAAACATGCAGGAGTAGTCCTCGCCCGCAGCAATGATGGCCCTGCCGTACAAGTCAGTCTTGCAAAACTCGCGGAAGTGCTCCATCCCGCTGTTCTTGAAGCGCAGTACCAGCCAGCACTCCTCGCGGTGAGTCTCCAACATATTCTCGAGCGGCTCCAACGAGCGGTAGCGTTTGCTGGCAGGCTTCGGACGTCAATCCCACAGCACGCTGACGAAGGTCTTACTGATAGGGACGCCGCCCTCCTTTTCGTTGGGCGTCTCAGTCATGATGAAGTCGTCGATCTGCCAAACGTCCCAACGCAGCGTGGGGTCTGGGTTCCAGTATGGCTCCTCCGGCTCCTCATCCGACGAGAACAAGTCATCGTACATCCCCTCGCCCGCAGAGCCAGTGTCACTGAGGTCCTCACTGCAAACATCGTCACTACCTACATAGTCATCGTCTGAAAGCTCATCAGCGGATGACAGGGGTGACTCGTACAACGGGAGCCGCTTGGGCTTCACCATGGTCCTCTTTTGACTGCTCCTAATTTTAGAACGGCTTCTGAAGTCTCTAAACCAACGCCGCCGAGCCTTTACAGAGTAAGAAGGCCCAGCTAGTGTTCGAGCTGCTGATGTCGTTCTAAATCTAGGACGAAGCCTGAACCCGATTTCGGTCATCACGAAAAACTGGCTGTTTGCTGCAGGGGGAGTGTCAAGGATATTACCTGCACATCAGTTGTTGTAGTGGGCCTTTGGCTCACTACTTTAGTTTACACGTGTGCGCGTATATGTGAGGAAGCGTAGCTTAGTTTAAATTAGAGTTAATTACACTCGGGCCTCCGAGTATAGATTAATCTAAATAAACGATCCAAATAATGTTTTTGGGTTAAAATGAGAACTGCTATTTTTTGTTTTATGTTTCTGACTTCCCCTAAATGTAATATTCTTAGATAGGAATTTGCCAACGGCTGGTAGGCAGAATTCCAATGCTATGCATGTCGCTCATTGGCTAAAAGATGCTGCTCTCAGCCAATAGGAATCCTAAGTCTCTATGGACCACCCGTCGTGGTGGTCGTAAATGTATGTAGCCTTTGGTGTGTCTATACCAAGGTCGAGAAAGTCTTTCGAACCTCTAACAGACGTCGTATCTGTTAGAGTTACAGGTGACTGTTGCCACTTGTGCGTGTAACCCTGTTACACCATCCCCCCTCAAGGTTAGACGCGCCGAGTCACGGCACGTCACTCAGGAAATTGACCATTCGTCAATTCTTCACGTTGGGAGAAATAAAACTCGAGCTCATTCCGCAATGAGCTCGCCTGAGAAGAAGACCGACGCTGCAGCAGAGGGGAAGTCCTCCGCCGGGATAGAGACTCTCTCTATCCCCGAGTACCGCGAGCGTCTCAAAGCAAAGCGTGACGCTCTTGCTACCAAGGCTGCGGCGGGGACAACTCAACCAGAGATTGTCCTCGAAGGTTCTTCTGTAGTCAACGACGCCGTTGACTTCGAGGATGACGACGTGGAGATGGAAGAGGGCGAGGCCTCTTCTAGCAAGCGCAGGGAGTCTATCGACAGTGATAGTCTCGACCCGCATGCCGGGTCGAGACGCCCTCGTGAAGGAGACGACTCGGACGCTTCGAGCTCGAAGCGTTCGCGCGGCGAGAGCGACACTCCGCTCTGCTGCTGGAGCTTTAAGCTCTCCGCGTGAGGTGGCGCCTTCAAGCTCTCCGCGGATGCCGTCTGCGTCAGAGATCGCAGACCGAGTGGGCAACACTGTGCCTCCAAATGAAATCCCGCTGTACGTATGCAGCGGTATCCACGACGATGCTGTTGCGGAGGAGCAGCACTTTGATCCGTTAACGAACCAAAGGCGTGACTATTACACCGGGCTCTTCCACGAGCTCCGGTACTTCTCCAGCAAGAAGACCTCTTCTCGCAGCAAAGTGCCTGAGTGGCAGGCACTTTGTCAAAGTTGGAATGCTTTTGTTGAGAACTTCAACAAGAAGCCGGCTGCTTACCGCGAGCGGGTTAAGCATGCCCGTGAGCGCTGCGAGACATTCTCGACGCGCGGGAGGCTGGAGCAGCTCCACAGATCTTCTGTGGACGCTGGTATTCCATGCGCTGTGCCCGAAGGCCATCAGTGCACGTTGTGTCTTCCGGGTGCGGCGCGCTTGAGCGACCGCGACTTAAACGGGTACACGACGATTCGTGTACCTGCGAGTCTCAAGAATCTCCGTGCCAAGTTCTTGGCACGTGAGGAGCGCGACGATCGTGGGACTTCGGGCGCTGTAGGTGACCACAGCGCTCGCACTACCTTCGCGTCGGCAGTGCGTGGTGAGCTTTGTACGCTCTCACCATTTCCGGAACGTCCAGCAGTAGGACGTTCCGCGGCTCCCATGTATCTTGGTGGGGCGGAAACCCTCTCCAACGAATACGATAACGAAACGGCTGCCGGTTCGTTTTCGGGATACTATGGTTCACAATACGCTTAACAATCCAGCGTGTTGAGCCGCGGGCGTCGCGGATCGGAGGCGGCGGTGGTGGGAACACGCCCCGGGTATGGTCAACCTGGGGTTGACCTTGGCCCGACGCTCGAGGAGCGGGTCGCTGCTGTCGAACAGCATCAGAGCCGGGAGTTCGCCGCTCTGAAGCAGGAGGTGGCGATCCGGAGGGCTCGAGTCGCTCAGGGTTCGCAGACCGCGTCGGACATCTCTGTCGACGTGGGAGGTCGCGTCGCACGCTTGGCCCAGCGCGTTCACGCGCTGGAGCAGAGGTTCACTCCCGCTGGGGCTTCCGCTTCGGGCCAGCCGAGCTAGATGGCTCGTGCTGCCGGTATGGCTTCAGCCGCCCGACGTAAAAGGTCGGATGGAGGCGCATGCTAGATGGAATATCTAGCATGTAGGCGTTGCCATGCCGTGCCAACACCGTGAACGGCCCGATGAAGCGCGGAGCGAGCTTGCTCGCCCCGAAGTCGGAAACTGCGTGTTTAGGCAGGTTTTGAGTAGCTGACAAAACCAATGAACCCTTCTTGAATTCATTTGTGTTGCCCCTACCAACATTGTCTGCGTTCAGCTTCTGTCGGTCGACAGAAGCTGCGATAGCGTCTTGGACAAACCGAATGACGGCTTGTCTGCGTTGTACGAAGTTGATTTCGTCCGAACTGAACGAGTTCAGCTCGTTTCTAGCAGTAGGCCCGGCCTCTGCGTTCGTCTTCGCGGTGTCTGTGCCCTGCACAGACCCGTTCCTCTTCTTCTTGTTGCGCGTAGTCGCGGCTGACACTGTGCAAGTGTCAGCGGCATTCTGCGACTGCTGCGTTGCAGTCGTAGATCCTCCCCCACTTAAGGAAGGAGCCACCATCCCGAGTAGACTCGGGAGGCGTGGGTGTCTGTTGGCATTCACGTAGAACGGTGTATGCCCGGTCGAGGCATGCACCGAGTTGTTGATGGCGACTCCGCCATCGGCAGGCACTCGCTCCAGTGTTGGAACGAGTGAGCGTAGCTCTTAAGCACGTCTACGAGCACGCGGTTCACGCGCTCGGTCTGCCCGTCCGTCTGCGGATGGTCCGCAGTCGACATCGAAAGTTGACTCCCAAGAAGTGTGAACACTTCTTGCCAAAGGTGTGCAGTGAAGCGCGGGTCCCGATCCGACACAATGTCGATCGACATGCCATGGTGTTTGAACACCATGTCAACGAACAGACGCGCCGTCTGCTTCGCAGTCCCTTCAGCGGGTACCGCAGCAAGATGTACCATCTTGCTGAAGCGGTCAATAAAGACCACAACGCCTGTGTTCCCCTGGCTGTCCGGGGGAAGACCGAACACGAAGTCCAAAGACATGGACTGCCAACACTCTCGTGGAGTTGGTAGTGACTGCAAGGGAGCCTGCGCGAAAGGCGCAGCCTTCACACGTTGACAAACCTCGCAAGCACGGACGTACTTGCGCACCCATTTATACTGGTGGTGGTGGGCCCAGTAGAAGTCTCGCGTGAGAAGAAGGTATGTCTTCTCACGGCCCGGATGCCCCGCAGTCGGTGCATCGTGATACTCGTACATGATCCTGAGTCGCAGGTCATGGTCATTGGGCACGACAACGCGGTCCGCGTTGTCGTCAACTGCACTATAGAGTAATAACCCGTCGTGCACCCGATAACGGTGTGCACGAGCACGAAGATGCTTCCGCAACTTCTGACGAGTTTTGTCAGAAGGCGCTGAGCCGTAGGCCAGCAAGAGCTTCGCGTCCGCGTCGTGCGCGTACGCGACCTTCACGTCGTCCAACAGAGACGACGTTGGGGTGCTCGATCGCATGGCGTCAATGGCATTGACGTCGGCATCAGGCGTGGCGTAGTCAGGTCGACGCGAGAGCGCGTCGGCCACCACATTGAGTCTTCCGGGTTTGTATTCAACCCGGAAGTTATACTCTGCGAAGAATGAGAGCCATCTCGCCATCCGTTGCGAGATGTGCGGCGACTTCCCAGCCGTCCGCAGCGACGCGTGGTCTGTGTAGACCACGAACAGTTTGCTTCCGAGTAGATACACTCGGAACTTTGCGAGTGCGTACTTCATGGCAAGGAGTTCCTTGTCATGCACCGGGTAGTTGCGCTCAGCTGGCTTCAGCTGACGCGATTGGTAGTAGACGACACGATCACGGCCCTCGTGATCGTGCTGCATCAACGCACATCCGATTGCGAAGTCGGATGCGTCAAACACAACGTGGAATGGGCGATCCTGGTCGGCCACCGCCAAGGTCGGCGCCTCCGTCAAGCCCTGCTTGACTGCATCGAAGGCCTGCTGACACTCAGCAGTCCAAATCCACTCGGCGTCCTTTTTCAGGAGCTGTGACAGCGGGCGTATCATACCGGCGTAGTCCTTCACGTACTTGCACAAGTACGTGTCCAAGCCAAGGAACTGCCGCAGTTCCTTGACGTTCGACGGCGTCGGCCACTCATTGATTACTCTGACCTTCTCAGGGTCAGGGCGGACACCGTTCTTCCCAACGAGACACCCGAGCACGGGTATCTCGCTCGCCCCGAAGATGCACTTCTTCAGGTTCGCATAGAGCTTGTGCTTGCGCATGAGCGCAAGCAACTTCCGGAGATGCACTTGTGCATCTCAACATCGCTCATTGTGTCCGCAGCCCGGCTGTGGACGAACACATCGTCGAAGTAGCTCGGTGCGAAGTCGCGCACCGAGCGCAACAAGTGCGTCACGCACCTGCTGAAGGTCGCAGGGGCGTTCTTCAGCCCCTGCGGCATCACCAGCCACTCCCAGAGCATGCCGCTCGGCGTGCTCACATCCGTGAGAGGGATATCGCTCTCACGCATGAGGATCTGATAGAATCCATCGCGCAGATCAAGAGCACTGTAGATAGTGCTCCTGGCCATCGAATCGAGGATGACATCTTTTCGAGGTATCGGCGTCTGCGCCGGTATCGTCGCATCGTTCAGCTTGTTGTACGCATGAACGATGCGCCAGCCGCCCTGTGGCTTCTTGACACAGAACGTCGGAGCACTGTGCGGGGACTTCGATTCCCGCACTCATCTAGCTTTGCGACGACTTTCGAAGAAGTCGTCGATCGCTTTGACCTGCTCTCGCGGCAGTGGCCACTGCCGCGTGACACAGTACTTCGTGCTGGATCCCCTTATCCTGCGGAAGCTCCGCAGGGATCGCTTCCGGAAGCACGTCCGCGTACTCCCGTAGAATCTCGTAGAAGGGACTCGACTTCAGCGAGTCCCAGCTCTGCTCCTCAAAGCGCTCCTTCTTAGTCTTCGCACTGTGAGTGTCCTCACTCTCAGTGGTGGTTTCCATGAAGAACTGCCTCAGTTCTTCATTCTCGCTCTTCGTTCTCTCGGCGTCCGAGAGAATGCATATTTGCTCGATGCGTCCATCGTGCAAGTCACGCGCGAAGCGCTTCCAGCTCATGACTGGAAGCGGAGTCAACTCCGACGCTTGCGTCGGAGGGTTAGCGAGAGTCATCTCCCTGTACCGGAACCCGGCACAGGTACGCGTCAAGACGTTCAACGTCTCGACGTCCGGCTTCTCAGCCTCCGTCTGCCCGGCAGACATTCCTTGTAGCGTCTCGGCCCCAGGCCGAGACTTGCGCAGCGACCTTCGCATGCGCCGTCTTCTTGTTTTGCGGAGCCCGGCTCCGCTTGGTTCTTGACCTCGTCCAGGCCCAGCCGTGGACGGGTGTTCTTCTTCAGTACCGCCGGCGGGTTCATCCCGCGGGCGAGCGACATCAAGCCCGGCTTGGTCGCCCGGCGCTTCGTCGTGCAGCCCGGCTGCACGACAGCATGCAAGTTTTTCCGGTGCCGAACGTTTGCAACCGTCCGCACCGCCTGCAGCGTCGGCTCCCGGAGCCGACACGCCATCTGCACCTCGACGCCTGTTATTGGCGGAGCCCTCCGTCACAAAGGGTGCGCCGACTCCCGGAGTCGACGCGAAACTTCTTTTCGCAGCGCCGGTTCCCGGAACCGTCGCGACTTCAGTACCTCGACGCCAACCACTGGCGGAGACCCCCATTACGGAGGGTGCGTCGGCTCCCCGAGCCGACGAATCAAATTCACCCAAGCCATCGACCCCCGGAGTCGACGGCGTTTCGTCACATTGGCTCTTGTTATTGGCCAAAACTCATCCAATCAGATTCGCGTCAGCCTCCACGGCTGAGGCGTGTGACTCGCCTGCGTCATCCGTGCCCCTTGAGGTCGGAGACTCTTCCTGATTCGCTGAAAAGCGGGTGTCGATCTCCGAGATCAACACATTTTCTCCTTCAGCCATCGGCGACGACGCCGACGCTTGCTGCTCTTGCGCGCGCGCTTGCGCCCAGGGCGCTCCGGGACAGCGGCATTAGGCGCTGTCTCGAGTGGGGAGTCGCGCGCACCTGTCGGTGCGTGCGTAGCGGCAACAGGGCCAACGCGCACTGTTCCGCTGTCGCGACCGAAGCGCACGAGAGTGCGCTTCTCCCAATCGATGACCGGATCATGCCGTGGCTTGCACGGCATGACCAATACGATGTCAAACTTATCGTCCAGATCCAGGACGATAAAGGTCTCGACAAACTCTTGGTCTTCATACGTGAAGCACACGCGTACCATGCGCTTCTCGGTCTTCACGACGGCACCCGTTGCCAGTCGTACCTCCAGCATACTTCGAGGTATCTTTAAATCCTCGAAGTCAAGCCTTGATAGACTTCGCAGTCGAACAAAGTTCTTCGACGCGCCAGAGTCTACCAAAGCACGAAGAGAGCCGCTTGCTCTCATCGAGTTCAAGGTCAGGATGACAAGGTCAGGCTTGTCATCTTGGATCTTGCAGTGAGAATGAACCTCACTGGGGGCTGCAGTCCTCAGTGTCGCGTGTCCATGGTCGACATGCGGAACGGCATTACCAGTAGGGCACCCCGCGCCTACTGGCGTCCAGCGTTTTTTGTTTGGTTGCGACGGTGCCGGGCACGGGGGCCGTGCACTCCCGAGCAAAGTGACCGACTCTACCGCATCGGTAGCATCGCACATTGTTTCCTTGCGACTGCTGGGGTCCAGTAGTTGCAGCACTCGAGAGGTCCATGGGTTCTGGGCCTCCCGTCCTCACTATCGGGCGAGGCTGTGGCCTCGGCGCATGTGCATGCAGCGTAGCCTGCCGCAGGCTAAACTCCTCTTGCATTGCAAGAGTAATTGCAGCTTCGAGAGTACTCGGGTACTCACGGAAGAGATAGGTCTTCACAGGCCCATCTCTCAGTCCCTTCATGAACGTGACCACCTTGGTCGCCTCGTCGATCGGATTGGTCACGATGTTCGAGACCAAGTACCGTGCTCTCTGAGCGTAAG